ATTTAGGGTAAACTGACGCGTTTTAAGGATTAATTAATGAAAAAAATTAAACATGAGGATCCCATAATCCATTATTTGAATATATAATTTCAATCTGTCCATCGTCCTCAAATATGTTTTCATTTTAAATTTGCAATTATGACTGTACACCACTTAGTATACATATAGCAAAAAATTATTGAAACGATCGATCTTAAAGTTTCGTTTCTGGTATTTCAGCACATTTTTTTCTTCAAACCTTGTTTTATAATAAAAATAGAAAATGCAATGCAATATATTGTTTAACAACTTCAGTTCATGCATGTCCTATCATACTGACCCAAATATGAATTTAGTTATCAAATACATGTATTGTGAAAAATTGCAATAAACTTTCATAATTTCCATATCATTTTACAGATTCTCATTATGTTTTATTTCATTTAATTCATTCATGCCAGTGACGGAGTGGCGCAGTGGTTAGAGCCTTTGTTTTAGAGACACAGAGTAAGGATAGACGGTGGCACCATGAATGATTTTGTTTGTCTGTCACTCTCGAGAATTTTTCACTTATATTGAGACGCCACCATTGCTGTTGGTGGGCTGCAAAATTTTAGATCTATACCCAGCACTCAGGGTCTTTGAGAAGGTAACCACATCAGCAGCCTCACTGTGCCCGAAGTTTCACCACCATCTGTGCAAAATGTTGAAACTGTTTCAGATGTGTCCAGTAGAATTATTGAGTTTTGTAAAGTACAAAATATTGCAGATCCGGTTGAAATTTTGCGCAAAGTTCAGAAAGAAATGGTCACAGGAAGGCCTTTAGAAGTGAATGATGTAACACATAATTCTGAGGGTGATACAAACTTTATTTTAATTGACAGGACCCATCTGTTGGAGACTGGTTTTGATGAAGTCAAAGCCATCAGTAATGTCCGAAAAACTTTAGAATTACAATTTTATGATGAGGTTGGTTGTGTATTGTGTTGTTGAATGCACTCATTTACCATGTACGGATGTATTTTGAATGATGTATGTTAACGGGGGGGGGGGGGGGGGAGATGATTTGCATATGAGTTCCTTTATTCTTAGTGCAAAATTTGCATCTAGTCAGCCTTAAGGTACAAATTACTAGTAACTAAACTTTCACATATAAGTAAATTTACTCCTGCTTTATTTTTTGTGAACAGATGACTTCTGGTCACCTTGGGCAACATAATATTAGAAGTATCTTCCTCTTTTAATATCCCCAAAACACCTCCATATTGCCTGCAATCTGCCCACTTGATACCAATTTACACAAAACTGAAGTTTGCTCATTTCAAATTACATTAACACACCAGGAGTAAAACCTGCAACATCTGTGAGAATGTGTGCATACATGTACCTGTATATATATATTTATTTATTACATTTATTATATATATACATATATTATATTACATATTTATTACATGTACCTGTATATGAATGGGACTTTCTGCAAAAAGATAAGTAATTGTTCATCTTGATATTTCTGTGCATGTATCTCCAAAATGCATCAAAATTGTTAACAAACAGCTAGCTAGTATGCCAAAAAAAAAATTACAAACCAGATGTAAAATTTGTAAAATTTTACACCCACTGCAGTTCCTGGAGTAAATGAGTGCACATTAACAAAACTAATTACAAGATCACAGAGTAAGACAGAGTTCTTGAAATCTTTCGGTGTTGACAAGACTGATAAAAACAACTAAGGACCGATTACTTTAGGTTCTGTGTCAGTCCAAATGACCGGTAGATGTTGACAGAGCAACTTGCGAAAATCCGACTAAATTTCTTACGAATTCCCTATAACTGACCGATTGTAATCTGTTAAACGCTTTTCTGTATCTCGTAATGACTTCTTCAATGAACGCAAGTGCCAAACTATGATTGATAAACTGTTAAGAAGAAAATTGACCCCCACGAGAATTCAATAAAAATTGTTATATAATCAAATCGGCATGAAATGTACAGTGTGTATTGACGCAGGGTGCAAAATGTATTGATTATAAAATTCAAATACAGTTTTCATCTTTTTATTGATTTTTTTTTTGGACTGATAGAAATCTGTCTGGACTGACAAACTTCACCTTGCAGTCAGTCCAAATGACTAACAGCGGAAAAAAGATTTCAAGAACTCTGGTAAGGTAACTGTTTTAGAGACCAACACTATTGATTATATATATAATATATATATGAAGTTTGAATTTGCCATGTTCAGAAACAGTGTACATATCATAAGTCTTGATACAGACAGATGGATTTATGCTCTCAGTAAACGGGATACAGTAAAACAACATGCTTATAGCGAACATGCTTGCAATGAAATGATGCTTATAGGGAAGTGGTTTTCATTCCCCTTGACTTAAAATATATTGTAAACTTAACAGATATATATAACGAATTATGCTTATAATGAAGCAAAATCGTCCATTCCTGGCACTTCGTTATAAGCATTTTTTACTGTATATAAAAACCAAGTTAACCAAACCTACCTACTTTTTTTCTGTATATTGCTAGATAATTTTTTATGGTTGGCCTAATTTTTCTATGCACTATGAGATTAATACAAGTGTTTACCTAACCATCTGTACATGTACATAAAATGATTAAATTACATGTAGATAGTGCATACTGTATAAATGTATTGGTACAAATTTATATAAGTACATTTGATTGATGTAATGAAATGCAATATGTTACTTTTTGTTGCAGACAGCTGTAGATTATGGCGGTCCCAGGAAGGAGTTTTTCCGGTTAATATTACGGGCAATCAAGGAGAAGTATTTTGACAGTGGACTTAGGGAATTACTTTATGAAGATTATGAAGTTGTTGGAAAGACTTTTGGTTTGTATTATAAAATTTGATTCTCAGTGTACTTTGTAATCATCATCTGTGATACTTTTTTTTTATGAAGGATTTTAGTTATGATAGTTGCTTTAGCTAAAAGCTGTGTCAGGCAATTTACTATCAGCCAATTAAAAGTTCATACTTGCACATATATTCTTCACAATTACATGTACCATATATATCGGATTTTGAATTTGAACCTAAATTTAAATTTTTTTATGCCCCCGACATAAAATTTGATATATGGATATGTCATAGGAAAATGCAGGTAAAGTTCAAATTTGGTCAAGGTCCGATGATTTTTGACAGAGTTATCCTTCTTGAACTTCAGAAAAAAACTTTTGTGCAAACAAATTTGAAACTAAATATGGCATTTGAAATTTTGTCTACCTACGGGGGCATTCGTGGTGTTACGACAAATGTAGTTTAACAAAACAGCTTTGCACAGGGGAGTTCATTTACATGGTACAATTCTAATTTCTTAGAAATTAACTCAGAACAATTTATCTTGATGAAATTCAAACTGATTCCCAAAAGGAAGAGTGGTGGCAAACCAGAGGGAAATCTTCATAATCGGTTGTACACATTTCATAATTATGTTTTATATAATATGATTATGATATAGGATGTTGTGGAAGACCTTTGAAGTTAAAATGCAAGTGTGTGATAATTGTATTGCTGTATTTCAGCTTTAAGTATTCTACAAAATGGCAAAATTCCAACTTTCCTGGAGCCAGATGTAATCCAGAAGATATTTTCTGATTCCACAGATCATCCATGCATCACAAGTTTGAGACAAGGACTTGAGACTTTGGGATTGTATACAGTAATTTTTTATGCTCCGCCATGAATATGGCCGGGGCACATAGTGTTTGTCATGTCTGTCTTCCGTCCTTCTGTCCTTCCGTCACACTTTGCATTTAGCTCTGTTCAAAGCTCAGTTTCAAAGAAACTATCCAAGATATTTTTATCAAACTTCATATGTTAATACATACTGATGTAAGCTATTCAACTGCATCAATATTTTTTTACCTTGACCTTTCCTTTGACCTTGACCTCACTTTTCTCAGTTTGTGTTGAACTCAGTTTTAAAGAAAACATTCATAATATTTTTATCAAACTTCATATGCTAATACATACTGATGTAACCTTTTCAACTGCATCAACATTTTTCAACCTTGACCTTTCTTTTGACCTTAACTTCATTTATTTTAAATTAGTGTTTAGCTCAGTTTTAAATAAACCATTCAAAATATTTTTATCAAACTCAAATATGCTGATACATATTTGTGAGAAGTATTCAACTGCATCAAAACATTTGACCTTGAACTTTCTTGTGACCTTGACCTCACTTTTCTTAGATTTGCATTTTGCTTAATTTAAAAGTAACCATTTAAGATATATTTATGTAAGTTTATGCACTTATAATTTGACAAGAATTTATCATCTATATCCAACTTTTTAGATTTCAATTTCAATTTTAAAGAAACTATTCAAGATATTCTCATCAAATTTCATACACTAAAACAAATTTTCATGTTGCATTACTAATATATCCTTGGCACATTCATGTCCTATGGACATATTTCTAGTTTTTTAATAAGTTTGGTTTTTGAAAAAAATATATTTAGTAGTAGCAAACTTTTATTCCATGACTAATAGTCTAATTAATATAAAATTAGTTCCTGTAAGTAATGATTTCTGGTTTTGAATGTTTTACGGTTATACATGTAGTATTCATACAATGTAATTATTTAGTTTCAATTAATATTCTAAGACTAGACAATTGACAGAAAAGAACAAACTTATTTTACAGGCAGTATAACATAGAAACCATCAATGTTTTGGTATTAGATAAATGCATAGAATGTGGCACTACATGTTTATACATATACTAATTAAGGAGAACAGAGACATATATGTCTCTGAGGAGAAGAATAATATTGCAAGAAAACTAATCCACCAGCAAAATATCAAAACTTTCTCTCAAACAGTTGAAAGTTTTTGCAATAAATAGTTAGGCCAAAATGCTACATTCCAGGGGCATAATAATTGATAACCAATGCCAATGTAGCCATTGGTGCTAAAGTGGCACCACATGCATGTGTGTGTACATCCACTAAGTATTAACTCCTATAACTCTTCAGATAATCTTTGCATTTTCATACAGCCAATCAATCCAAAAAAAAAAATATGGTATACTGTATATATCCAGTTAAAACTAGATAAAATTAATACTGCACAGCACAGTAAGGACACTTTCATTTATATAACAGTTATATAACATACCAATAATAAACATTATAACTTTTGCTAACTTTATATATAAATAATGATATAAGAATGTACATGTATAAACAATATAATGCATTCTTTGTTGTTTCAGAAGAATGTAAAGTATTGCCCAGGATTCAATATCTGAATATTTTAATAAGTGTATTTGAATATATTCAAATATTTGATTAAAAAAGTCCTGATTTTTTATACACCAAAAGTCCTGATTTTTTATACACCAAAAGTCCTGATTTTTTTCATACCAAAAGTCCTGACTTTTTTTTTTTTTTTTTTTTTTTTTTTTGTACACCCTCTACTTTACCCTCACAGTACACTACAGTATTGTGTGAAAAAAGTTGACCCATTACAATATTACCACATTGGGGCATACATGTTTCTAAAACATTTTTTCTTGTCTTTTGAGAAATGTTGAAGTTTAAACATGTTAAACATCCTGTTCAAGATTGATTATAATAGTAACTCCCCAAAAACATGTTTAATCTGTTGTTTATTTTTTTTCAGATTGGTATGCAGCTGCCAAGTTTTCTTTACCTTTTCCAAAAACATTCTATACCATTGACATTCAGGATGCTTACAATGCTTTTGAAACCTCAGTTTTCATTAGAGGGTAGCAACAACATTGAAGTGGAGAAGAAAGTTTATGCAGCATTTGTCCGTTATTTTAGAGAAGTTGCAAGTAAGATTTCAAGTCTGTAAAATTGTTTTAAATTAGAAATTCATAAATTAGTGCTAGGCACATAAACTTGATATATATTAGATTCTCATCCTGATTTGCATTAAACATAAGGGTGCAGAGGTGGGTGTATTTTATTTTTCATTTTTTAAAATTATTTTTATGCCCCCGTATTGAAGATTCGGGGGTATATAGTATTTGCTCTGTCCATCTGTCTGTATGTTTATCCGCAAAAACTTTAACATTGCTTATAATATTTGATTGGTTGGAGCTATGGCTCTCATATTTCACATGTGTATTCCTTGTGACAAGGTCTTTTCTTTGGGTACCAACATATTTGACCTTTTGACCTTGAACTTGGAGTTTGACCCAATAATTTACCCAACTTTAACCTTGTACATAACTTTTGAACAGTTGGTGCTAGGACTTCCATACTTCTTACGTGTATTTACTGTGATAAGACCTTTCAAATGATATACATATTTTTGACCTTTTGACCTTTACCTTGAAGTTTGACCCACTTGAAAAAAACTAACATTGAACATAACTTTTGAACAGTTAGTACAAGGGCCTTCATATTTCAGAGGCGTATTTCATGTGACAAGGCCTTCCTTTGAATACCAACAATTTTGACCTTGGACTTTGATCTATTTTTGAAAAAAATAACCTTGGCCATAACTTTTGAACAGTTGGTGCTAGTTCTTTAATATTTCACATATATATTTTTTATGACAAGGTCTTCCCCTAGGTACCTTGAATTTGACCCTTTGACCTTGGAGTATGCCCCACATTTTAAAAACTTTAACCTTTGTCATAACTTCTTTTTTTGTTATTGCTTGGGCTTTCATTTTTCACAGGTATGTTCATTGAGAATAAGCCCTTTCTTTGGGTAACAAAATTTTTCACCCCTTGACCTTTGAGTTTGACTTGCATTTGAAAAACTTCAACCTTCACCAAAGCTGTCATCAGTGTTTCACAAACACATCTTGTGTTTTTTTTTTTTTTTTTGCGATAGTCCAATTTTTGCTTTCTTTACAAGCAGTTTAAATAGATTGCAAAATAATAAACTTGCATGAAATTGTCCCCATGCAGGTGTTTACCACATAGACTACATAGATAACTCTGATAAACCACTGGGAGAATTGCAAAAGAAAGGACTACACAAATAAAGAATAATGGTGTATTGGAAAATTCTGCAAAAATTTGCGACACGCAGGAAAAAAACCTCTTGAACAATATTATATTCTGTGGAGTGAATAAAATTTGATTTTAATTTTTCTATGAGCAACAATATACAAGTAAGTAAAATCCAATTGTTGTAATTTTATTTTTTGCAGGTGGTCGAAGAGAACATTTATCCATTGCTAATATTTTACAATTTGTAACTGGAGCTGATGAGGAGCCAGTTCTAGGGTTTCAAATACCACCTACTATTCAGTTTCCAGAAGTGATTAACTCCTTAATTCCAACAGCGAACACATGCATCAACTCCCTCCAACTCCCACGACCAAAGCCAAGCATAGATACAAATCTTCCTGAAGATAAAGAGCTTTTTGCATTGTATGATTACGCATTTTTAAATTCTTATTATGGTTTGCGGTAATTTTTTAGCCAATTTTTATTGCAAGTCATTCATTATTACCTTGCAAACACATCTAGTTTTGGTCTGGTATATGTATGTGACTTGTCCATCTTCTGTAAGCTTAATTTTTTATCTAAAGCATACATCTGATTTTTTTTTTTTTAAATTTGTCTCAAACTTTGTAAAAATATTATCTATATGAACATGTTCAAATGACATTTTCAGATCATTTAAGAAGGTCAAGCAATCTGAAGAGGTTTTTTGGTTTCCTTTTTAAATTTCCAACTTGTGTCATGGCTCTAGCTTTGTACAAATGTATAATGTGATTATAGGAAGCACTACATTTTTCAACCAGAGGCATTTTGTAAAGGTCAAGGGGTTAATAATGATATACACTGTACTTTAGCAAAACCATACCATTGTTAGTAATGTTGAGATTGTAGAAGTCCTTAATTTTCAATTTACAATATATACTTTATGTTAGGTACATGTATTTCTAATGCTTAACCAGAATTTGTATGTCAAGTGAAGAGCTCACAATTCGTTGTTATGTAAACAAGGTTTGAATGACTGCTATGTTTTTAGTTTACAAATACATAGCTGAAATGAAAAATCATATTTTAAACAAAATGACCATTGACATGAAAATTAATATTAAGAGCCCTCTATACACTGCACACTAGAGAGTTCTGATTTTGTGGTATTTTTGTGCAGATAGAGTGATCTGCCCTTTGATCAAGAATAAAATAAATTGAAAAGTACAGTTTATTACTTAATTTGTGATCAAATCAAGCATTCATATCACTTTAATAGGCCAAGATGAATAGATAGAACACTTCATTTGCAGGTATTTTGCCCACTTATGTAAACAACAGTGATTTATGTTCATCAGTACTTCATTGTCTTTGAACATTTTTCCTGGGGGTAAATGCAAGGCACCCTATGTTGAAAATGTAATAGATAAGCTCAATACTTACACCTTTACACACTGTTATTTTTTCAATGTCCAAAAAATATTTTCCGCTAGTGTATAGAGGGTCCTTTAGTCACAGGTTATTTTTTTGGGGGGGGGGGGGCCTCATTTTACATGTATTATGCTATATTTAGCTAGATAGCCTCGTTTTCAGTTTAAGGTCAGTAGCCATTATGGCATCAAGGCATTCATTTCAAAAAAACTAGTCATACTGACATATGATGTTTTAGCAAGTTTGACATGATATTCTATGTATGCCTCCATAAACCTTATGATGCTGGTGTATGACATAATCATGTAACATGTGATATCCATATTATGCCTATAGGCATACTTTTAAGTTTCAGACCTCCTAGTCATGCAGACTTGTGAAAATTTATCATATTTTACATATGATATCCCAATTTATCTCTGGTTTCTAGTTATGTCAGATCGAAGCTTAATTATGTCGTACATGTGATGTTTTTTACAGTCCTGAATTTCCTGTACTTGTTTTCATGCAGTATTCTTGGTTCATATTTCATACAAATTAATAAATAAAATTATTTCAGCAATCTTACCCCATGTTTTTTGAGGGAAATATCCATTTATACATAGACTTGGTGTCAACTTTCTTCATTGTTTATTTTTCATATCATTATACATCATGTGTAAATTACTGTTAAGTTATTCTCATCAAATTTTTGAGGTCTGTTTTGCCTGTCAATTAACAGCATTGTTTCTGTGTACTGTGCCTGTACATGTAAATATATTAATATGGGTCTCTTGGTCAGGCTGTTCATCATTCTGTCTATAACATTATCCCTGCTAGTTTGCATTGAAAGTTTACTAGATGACTCCTTATGACTCAATGAAGACCGCTATTGATTTTTTGGTCAAAATTCAAAAATCAAGGCCATAAATCCATATACTGGGGGTATGAAATGGTTTCCAAGTGATATATAGTTTCCTTTGAGTTTTTAAATGAAACTTAAGATAATGTCTCTATAACTTGTAGAAGAGCTTTATTAATTTTGAGGCTAAAAGATCTCAAGTCAAGGTCACAAATTCATGAATGCATTAACTAAAATTTCTTTGGTTTTTGACTCAGAAATAGCAGCAATGAAATCCCAGCACTAGCCTCCACCATGTAATTACATAAAGTCTTATGTTTTTAAAAGTAGGGAAAGGGGCATAAATTGTAAAATTCATATCCCCCCATGGGGGTGTAAATTTGGGGTAAAAACTAAAAAAAATTATGCAATTTTTAAAATCTTTTTGTCTACTTCTGGACATCTAGCAGACACAAACTGATTTATGATGAGTAAAGAAGCTTCTACCAAAATTACGAAATTTATGATCCCCTGGATCAGGGGGTTCTGGTGTTAGGGCTGGGCCATTTTGATCATACATGTATATTGGAAAATTTAATACATTGGTAATTCTTTAAAAAATCTTCTCAACTTGTGGAGGTCTAGCAGGTAAACTGATTAAATAGTTAGGATGAGCAAGGTAGTCTATACCAAAATTGAGAAATTCATAGCCACCGTTTATGGGTTCTGAAGCTGGGGGGGGGGGTTATTTGGTGAAAATGCATTTATATTTTTAATATGTTCGCATGTTAAGAAAACTATTGGAGTATGGGACAACATATTACAAATATGAGGCATATCATCTTACACTTGCCCCCACTTCTGTTTTTGCTCACCTGAGCCAAAGGCTCAAGTGAGCTTTTCTGATCAAAATTTGTCCACTGTCTGTCGTCTTCCTCATAAACTTTTCAAATTTTCATCTTCCTCTCAAGAACCACTGGGCCAATTTCAACCAAACTTGCCACAAAGTATCCTTGGGTAAAGGGAATTCAAGTTTGTTCAAAAGAAAGAACACACCTGCTTCCAAGGGGAAGTAATTAAGATTTCATAAAAAATAATGGCATCATTTAAAAATCTTCTTCTCAAGAACCACTATGCTTGTAAATATGAAACTTATGTGGAATCATTGTGAGGTAACGTAGATTCAAATTTGTTCAAATCATGACCCCTGGGGATAGGGTGGGGCCACAATGGGAGATCAAAGTTTTACATAGGAATACATAGGAAAAATCTTTAAAAAATCTCCTTCTTGCAATTGAGAACAGCAAAGCTGTGATTGGTCATATTTATACTTTTCAGTACTGAACTGATTAATTTCCTGCTTTTTCCCAGCCAAAGTGCTCAGGTGAGCGATGTGTCCCAAGGGTCTCTTGCCATTAATTGTTTAATAACTTGAATACTCTTTAGATACCTTCATTAACCTAGTAATTTTTATTCATGCATGATTACAATTTGATAATGCACAGGACAGTGCCTCTTAGGATTATCATAAGTTAATCCTCCTCCCCCATGACCCTACCCAATGTTTCAAAAATTTTACAATATCTTGAATACTCAGTAGTGTTTAGATCATTTATCTCTCTATCCATGCATCATAACCAATGAAATACTACGTAGGACAGTAGTGTAATTATTGAATTGCATTTCTATGGATTCTTATACTCGGGTGACTTTTAAGGACAATAGGCTTCTTGTTCTGGACGCAATGTATGCCGCAAACATGGTACATATTAGATTGTTCTGTTCAAAAGTTTTATTTTATGTTAAAATACATCAGATAATGTATTCAGGTGAAAATTAATGTATTTAATAAGTTCTTTATTATGATTATGCTCATGACCATTTTTTTTAACACAGCAATGCATGCACAAATTAATTTCAAACCACTGAATTGTCTTTGAGAATGAATAAAATGTCAGAAAATTTATTGTTGTGTTTTGTACTGTGGATATTTGCATTGAAGGTTCATTGAATATGGTTAATTTTATTGATGATTCTTTATGATTTGAAGAGACTTCATGTACATATCTATCCCAAAATTTGTTAAGTTCCCTGCTCTTTGCACTTCATTATCAAGCTGCTCTTTACATCCTGCAGTGATGATACCACTAGACACAGAAGAAATAATTGGTCTCTCGTCTTCATCATTATTGTCAGCTTCCAGAACAAAGCCTTCTGTTCCATAATTGACATCAACAAAATCTATACCTGTAGGATTTTGAAGTTGTCCTGCATCCCATAAACCACGTGGGGATGATTTTGCTGTTCTCATTCTGTGTGTAGCCCAGACCTTTTCCCAGATTTTCAGCTTTTCGTTTATTTGTGGAACAAATATATAATGGAGAGCTGCAATATGCAGATTGTCCAGTGGATCTAATATCCCGTTGTCCTCCATGTGATAGAATAATTTGTAAAAAAAGGAAAGAACACCGGTATAAACGTCTCTCCACAGACGTTCAATTCTCTGATTGTGAACACTTTTACCTGTTAGCATGCTTCCTTTACCTGACCCTCTGTTAGAGATCATGTAATCTGCAATAGCTGAATTTTCCAAACCTTTGTCCGAACGCACTCTAACTGGTAATCCAAAACGAGAAACGCCATCACGAAAGCATTCTAAAAGTGTATCTGCTTTATTATTGTCCAGACATCTCAAGTAAATAACCATACGACTAAAACCATCAATGCCCCCTGCGATGACTAAATGCCAACGAATTAGTTTATGGTTGGTATCTACATGCCAAAGATGGTTAGGCCCTTTCACATCATACACCCTACGCCTTAAACGACCTTTTCTTCTGTCCTTTACACCCATTGCGTTGACACGATGTAGGCTTTCTCTAAGTCTCCATCGCTGTACATTAACACATTTTTGTTTCAGTATTTGACTTAAAATGTTCTCTCCACAATGCGGAAAACTTTCAGATGCATTCGTTACATGTTCGTCTAGTTCATCATCGCCCATCTCTGAAAAATTTTGTTTTGATATTCCAAATTTTCGCATTCTGCGATATACAGTACTCTCAGATATAGAAAGTGGTCTGGAAATTTCTGTTATAGTAAACCCATCATTAATCAGGTTTTGCATTATACTTCCTGGTATTACAAATTCTGCTGGACCACAACCAGTATGCTCCCGCTCAGGTGTCTGAAAACCGTAGGTGATGCATTCATTTCTGAGTTTAACCATATCCGCTTTGTTGCAAATTCCTAGACATAGCATTTCTTGGGAGGACAATAAACCCACAATATCAGGAGAAATATTTTGCTCT